TGTTGGGGTACCAGGAGGGACAGAAACCCCAACAAGCTGGCCCTCATGTTACATATGGCACCAACGTGGATAACTGAATCCACATAAAGCGTGAGAAAGCTTGGGAAGGAATAGAGTAAAGCATGTTTTCTTGGTAGCAGCAATTTCTCAGGTCTGCTCTGTTTGCTAGAGCAAGCAAGTGCTCTCATCTAGGAGAGGCTTCTTGACTCAGCCTTGGCTGCAAAACCTTGCAGCTCATTGGGAGGTCCTGCCACGAAACACTTGGATACTGTTGGTGGAGAGCTGAGCGCATGCTTTTCGGTCGTAGCAGGAAAAAAGCTGTGCTGTTTTGAAGTGCCGGCTTTCTGGGCTGTCCTGCCAGGACAAACTCTGACTCTTGCAGGCAGGCAGTCCAACTGAGTGTGGTCTGTGAGCAGAATGATACAGCTTGCTTGCTAGCAAGGACCTTGAAACACGACAAGTTGTGGCAGTGAACACAGCTGTGGCTGGTATCTCAGCTATGAGGCTGAAATGCTAAGGAATGAGCTGGATCTAGCTGTCAAAGCCACGGCTCTCCATATTGCTTAGTAAATTAATGGCTCATGTGGTCAGAAAAAGAAAAATATACAGTAAAGAGAGATTCAAAGAGGAAGAAAACCTCTAAATGGTTTACAGTGTGTATATGCAGGCTAAAAGTTAAAGTTCTTAAAGTTAAAAGGAAAGAAAGAGAGTAGTTGGGTGTGGTGGTACACACCTTAAATCCCAATGCCTGGGAGGCAGAGGCATATTGACCTCTGTGACTTCAAGGGACAGAGGTAGAGATTGACCTCTGTGACTTCAAGGTGTGGTAGTGCACACCTTTAATCCCAATGCCTGGGAGGCAGGGACAGACAGATCTCTGTGAGTTCAAGGTGTGGTAGCATACACCTTTAATCCCAGCACTGGGGAGGCAGAGACAGGAGGATCTCTGTGAGTTCAAGGACAGCCTGGTCTACAGTGTTATTCCAGGACAAAGATATACAAAGATCCTGTCTCAAAAAGTAAAAGTAAAAATAAAAGAAATAGAGGTTAAAATAAAGCCACATAAAGATGGAAAATGCACAGAGAATCTTCATACTGTATGCTTTTATGCTCTCTTTAAATTGTTTGATTGCTGAGGAAGGAGCAACAACTGCTAAAAGACTTTTGTTTATAAATGCTGCTGAACTAACCCAAGATAGGAATTTTGAAAATACCTTGGCTTCAAAACTGAAGTCAAAAGGTATGTTACTTTGGAGAAGAGATTTTGCTTTTGTTTCCACAGAAAACGAGAGACTCTGGATTTATTCAGAGTTAAGAATAATCACCTTTGACCAAGGGAGGCCACCTGAAAAATCTCCGATAGGAACAGATGGCCCAGATGACAGAGTTCTACATCCAGAACAGATTCAAGACTGCTGCCTGAGATGATCAAGACTCACAGGATACTCCAGTCATGACTTGATTATAACTCTAAATTTTCTTTAGGTCCCCTTAAGACTATCAGCGCCCCCAACCAGCAGGAAGTAGCCTGAAATACTACGCCCACATTCCCAACAAATGGATTATGGGTATTTTCCTTTGTTTAAAAAAAAAAAAGAGGGAAATGGTGCGGGAGAATTGTGTGTATTCTGTCAATCATATTTTAATAAAACGCTGATTGGCCAGGCAGGCAGTATAGGTGGGAAAGCCAGACAGGAAGTAGGGGTGGAGAAAAGAGACTGGGAGTATTCTGGAAGCAGAAGCTCTCTCTCAGCCACTCCTGCGCAGACCACCGAAGAGGCAGCATGTAACTTGCCCAGCAGAGAAAGGTACGGAGCCATTATGGCTAACATAGATGAGAATAATGGGTTAATATAAGTTATAAGAGTTAACAAGAAGCCTGACCTAATGAGCCAATCAGTTTATAACCTTATGGAATCTTGTGTGTGATTTTCTTTGTTGCTTGCTGGCTGTTGGGGTACCAGGAGGGACAGAAACCCCAACAAGCTGGCCCTCATACTACAAAAGAGCACTATGGGAAACTCCTCCAAAGAAGGCCCTGGTTTTACTTACAGAGAGCAGAAATCACCCTGTTCCTATGCTGGTGCATCTCTCGGGGACGAGATGAACAAATACAAAATAAAATGTCATTGTCCCAGACTTGGCATGGCAAAGGTCTTCAAGATGCCATTTTTATTGCATAGGATTGCATGGGAGTGAAAAGTAACATTGACGGTTGTACTTACTGTCAACTCTAGCTGAAGTTGAAATCAGACAGTTTTTAAAGAGGTGTATCTTGTCTGCGCGCCAAGGGAGCCAGACCCTCTGGGAAGAGTCAAACTGGAAGCCAGGAGGCTCCAGCCAGCCACAGAAGTGAGTTTCAGACAGTCACTCTGCACACTTACGATGCTTTTTCTCTGCAGAACACTTAAGCTGCTGCGACTCCCTGGGCTCTGTCTGTCTGTCTGTCTGTCTGTCTGTCTCTCTCTCTCTCTCTCTCTCTCTCTCTTTCTCTCTCTCTCTCTCTCTCCCCACATCAAGCCTCCATTGGAACAGGTGATGGAGTGGTTAACCACTTTTAAGAGGTGAGGGCATGGAAAAAGCAGGTCATCCCCGGAAGACCCAGGGCTGGAAGCCCTTCCTTCTCCTGTTCCTGGAATCACTGCACCAGGGCTGGAGGTGGAACTGTAATTGAGCGGTAAGAAAGTCACAGCTCCGTGCTGCCCTGCCCAGCCATTGCATGGTTCTTATTTGACTTTTTGTAGTTTTAGAGGTTGAAAGCATTCTTTACCACTGAACTACTCATCCATAGGCTCCTTTTGAAGTTTTATTTATTTATTTAGGTTCTTCTTGAGACAAGATTTCTCTGTCTAACAGTCAGGAACACTCTTTGTTGACCATGCTAGCCTTGAACACAGAGATCCTCCTGTCTCTACTTCCTGAGTGCTGGGATTAAATGATTACAACACCACTGCCTGGCCCCCTTTTGGATTTTAAATTTTAAGATGCCAGCCTTCAATGGTGGTGGCGCATGTCTTTAATCTCAGCACTCGGGAGGCAGAGGCAGGTAGGCCTGTGAGTTTGTGGTCAACCTGGTCTGCAGAGCAAGTTCCAGGAAAGCCAGGATACACAGGAAAACCTTGTCTTGAAGAACAAAAACAAACAAACAAACAAAATTCATGTTGTCCCAGCTGGCTATGATTTCACTTTGTAGCCCAGGCTGGCCCAGAACTTGCTCTGTAACTCAGGCTGGCCTGGAACCTTCAATCCTCCTTCCCCAGCTTCTCAAATAGCTGGATTACAAGCCTAAGCCATCAGGAGGCCCAACTCATAGTCTTACTGGTCTTCCTGTTATGTAACCCTGATAAAGGGGTGGTCAAATGACCCAGGCTCAACCAGAAAAAACAAATCTTTCTCTTGAGATAAAGACCGGCAGTAGAAGCATGGAAAATCATGCAGACAAAGACGAAGCCAGGTCATTTGCCCTCTGCCTTCCCCTTGGGGCTCAGCCTGGAGATCCCACAAGCAGCCTGAAAGTGCTATAAAGCAGGTAGGAACTTGGTGAGGAACCAGGAAGGGACCCAGAGGGCATAGGCAGACAACACTAAAGGCAGGAATGGGCTGGGCATGTAGACCCGGACATGACTATGATCAATAAGGACGCATTGCATAATGCAAAGTAGTTGGAAGAAAGGAAGCCTCGCCAAGAAGAAATGATAAATGCTCGAAGTGATCTGTCATCTGTTGACTGCCCTAACTGATGACTGTTAGATGCATTCGTCTATTCCTGCATCACAGTGTAACACCCAAATCTGTAAGTTTAAAGGAGGAAGAGGAAAAAGAGGCGAGGGGGGAGGAGGAAAGGAAAGAAGGAGGGTTCAGGAGCGGGAATGTCTTGTTTATGTCTTCTTCTCTCCATCACCAGACCTATCACTGCTCACAAACCAACCCTTTCCGAGAAACAAAGCCCAAATAAACAGGCTGGCTTCAGAGCACTCCCAGAACCTGTTGGGATCCCAAAACATACAGAGAGGACAGATAAACTCCCCATTCTCTGTGTGTCCGCCTCTCAACACCCCTGCATCCCGTGTCAAGCTTCGGGTTGTCATAATCCAAGGAGATAAAAAAAAAAAAATGGACCTCCCAGACAAATTGATAGGGAGCTTCTGTCCGAGGCTCTCCCTGTCCTGGAGGGTCCTCCAGCTCCATCTAGTCATTTCTACTTCTCCCTCAAGTCCTGTACTTACTACTTCTTCTCTCAGCTCTAGGGATGGCAGTCAAAGGACTGAAAGAATGTCCCTCTGCTGAGGTCCCAGTATAGCCTCGGTACTGGATAGTGTAAAAGAACAGGAACCCAGAGTGGGAAATAACCGAGATGAATGGTTTTGTGTGGTTTGACACAAGCTGGAGTCATCAGAGAGGAAGGAGCCTCAGTTGAGGAAAGGTCTCCATGAGATCTAGCTGTAAGGCATTTTCTCAATTAGTGATTGATAAGGGCAGGGCCCAGTCCACAGTAGGTGGCGCTATCTCTGGGCTAGTGGTCCTGGATTCTATAAGAAAGAAGGATGAACAAGCCATGGGAGCAAGCCAATAAGCAGCACCCCTTGATAGTCTCAGCATTAGCTCCCGCCTCCAGGTTCCAGCCCTGCTTGAGTGACTGTTCTAACTTCCTCCAATGATCAAGAAGTATAAGCCAAATAAAGCCTTTTATCACAGCCACAGAGACCCTAACCAAAACAAGAGGAAAACAAACAAAATGATCCACGGTGGATGTAGTCACAATAATAAAAAAGGGAACAAGAACTTAAAAAGAACTGTCATGTTTTAACTTAAAAAAAAAAAGTGGAGAATTTGGTTACAAAGAGCAGATACTCATAAGTAAAAACCGATTTAACACTGAGAATTAAAAACAAAGAGTTAGAGATAGAATTAACAGTTGAAGGACTGGAGCTGTAACTTGGGTATAAACCACTTGCTTAGCAGAAGGCTCTTGGGTTCCAACCCCAGGGACACAAGGCAAAAAAGAAAAAGCGAAAAGAGTTAGGTGAACCTGTCCTCTCAGAAAGTAACTCTGTACCCTTAAGCCAGCATCTGATGCTGTCGTGAACACTGTAGGTAAAATTTCCCTAGAACCCTTGATCATAAGAATCATCACATAAGGGGGCTGGAGAGATGGCTCAGTGGTTAAGAGCATTGTCTGCTCTTCCAAAGGTCCTGAGTTCAATTCCCAGCAACCACATGGTGGCTCACAACCATCTGTAATGAGGTCTGGTGCCCTCTTCTGCAGGCATATATACAGACAGAATATTATATACATAATAAATAAATAAATATTTTTTTAAAAAAAAGAATCATCACATAAACCTACTGCTCCCAGGTCTCACTCTATCTCACATATTATAGTCTGCAGAAGGGCCCTGGTGTGTGTCATGCATGCCTACTAGGTAGACCTCATTCTCTCCCCTCCCCATCCTTAGAGGGACAGCTCAAGACATCTGCTGTGGGAAAATTCTCGCCTAAAACAACAGAAATGCACGTGAGGCTGTGTCGCTACAGCGTCCTGTGTACCAGAACTGAAGGGAGAGCAAGGTGACTATCTGCAGGGAAGTGGGTCTAAAGAGTGCTGTGGATAAATGCTTGCAAAGGTATAAACACTGCGTGGCAACCTATAACCACTGAACTAAGTGTCCAAACAGTCCCACAGAGACATCCTTAGACAGTCAGAAAAGAATTGTGCAAGTATTCAATGCACACACATGCTTTCCATCCGTGGTTATGAATTTAAATCAAGGCCATAAATCAAGCTCATTTAAAGTGGTTGTCTTTGGGGAGGAGAGGGAAGGGATGTGAAGACCAAATAAAGGAAGCTAAGACAGTGTTCTGCCAGACCTAAGAGGACAGATGTCACAAACTGAGAAGACCTAATTTAATTCCCTGCAAGTACCTGGGGCGGGGGGAGGGGGAAGCTAAAGTCGATTTGCTTCTATAGTGAAGTCCTAGAGAATTTATTTCTTTCTGCCTGGATTGCCCAAGCAAGGTCTGTCTCCTTTAGCTCTGTGATTCCCTGCATCCTTCCAATATATACCTATTCTGCACGTCACCCTATCGCCATGCCATGGGAAAATCAGCTTGTGCTTTTGACCACTAACAACCCAGTGCATCCTCAACGAATCCCTCTTTGGGCAACAGAGAACTGCCATTTGGGTAGAGATAAAATGGCCTTTGTTCTCCCCAGCCAGTCTGCAGAGCCATCTTCTACTCTTTGACTCTGGTCCTGGGTTGCATTAGAAAGCAAGCTTCGTTTCTTCCCTCCAGGTTCCTCTCTTGGATTTTTCCTTGATGATGAACTGTACCCTGGAAGCTAAAAGAAACCCGTTTTTCCCTGAGTTACATTTGGCCAGTGTTTCCTCACAGCTACAGAGAAACTAGGATGCCATCCCCCAGGGGCATCCATAGGTTGCCCAGTAGGTTCCACAACTTCCCAAAACAGGGCCACCATCAGGGGACCAACTCCTCAGACACAAGGAGCCTATGGGAGACATTTCACCGGCACACCATAAGGAGGTCTTTAAGTCATTAGGACATGACATCAGCTGGCACTATGGGCCCTTGTTCCTCCTCATACTCTCCCGCTTCTGGGCCACGAGATGAGTGCATTTGCTCCAACGCATGCTTCCACCATGATGCGCTGTGTTGTCAGGGACCAGCAACTGCCACTGTCCCAGACAGGCTCTCAAGTGACCCTTTATTTAACTCCCATTTCAAAAGACAGCTCTTGGGGTCAACCTGATTTGGCACCATTCTCTGATACTCAAATGCTCTCAAGCCA